GGAAAGTGTCCAAACTTTTGACTGGTACTGTACTATAATATACACGAATATCTTTTTTTTTTTTTTACTCCCTAATATCGGTACCGGTATCGGCCTCAAAAAACCCATATCGGTCGGGCTCTAATAATTATAAGGCCCTATGAAATCCGTTTTATTTCCAAATTCTGTTTTTTGCCATTTAAATTTTTTCTATACTCTGTTTTAATGGTTAAATTAAATTATTAATCAAAAATCCTGTCTAATTAATTGAGTTTTACATTTTTATGTTTACCAAATTCTGTTTTCAATTATTCTCTGGATTCCATTTTAATGGTTCCGTTAAATTTTAATAATCAAAAGCATCTCCAATTATTTTATTTTTTTTTAGAAATATTGCACATTTACATTTTTCTACTAAATAAATTCTGGTAAATACATTTCTGGTAAATACTCCTTTTAAAAAGTGTTTTTTGATTATAATTTTATTATTAGTAGACTAGAACATGTGGATATGTTGTCGTTCTTACACTATAATACTGAACTTTGATTTCAGTGATTTGAACTATGAGATGGACACTTGCTTGCATTCTATGTTGCACTTTACTTTTGCTTAAAAAAAAGGATTAAATAGAAATTTGGATTTCATTTGTTTAATAAAATATTCTTAAGTAAAATTGTTGATTTTTTTTTGTGGGAAATTAATCGTTAAGATTAAAGTCCCCCTGTAGTGAAAATCAAGTTTTTTATGTTGTTTATTTGTTTATGTGGTGTTTTTAATATGCTTTTAGACAAACCATGTGCCAATCTATTAATCAACACTATTGCTGTGTATTTTCTCCTTAAAACTGTAGTCTCCCAAAGGCTAACCCAGAAATATGGTTTGAAACAGCCCTTGGTTTGCTACGTCACAAACCAATAACCAATCACGTCAAGGGATCGATTCCTATCACTAGCATGCAAAAAATACCAATACCAGCACAAAACCATAAATAAATCCGAGCAAAAAACCCATGAAGCTGTGGTTTAATGTGAATTTAGAACTGTTAACTTGCATTATAACCCGTGGCAACAGTGTAAAAGTAGCCACTTCACATGCGTATGCTCGCGGGCGTGAATTAAGCATCACAAACGTAAGTAATGTTACAGTATTCACTGTAGTTGTCCGCTAGTAAAAACATAGTTTTATCAGTCATTATCCGTGTATGCCATTATTTTGCGGTTACTACAGTTCAGTGGATCAGGAGGTGCTAGCTGGTGTGTGACTGAGTGGAGGCGGGATTCATTTGCGTATTCATAGATCTGCATATATAGTAAATGAGGCAAGGGTGTAGAGTTACATTCAAGCTATTTTTTAAGGCATTGTATCACATACTTTTATTTTTTATTTTTATTCATTAAGATGTACTAGAAGTTGAGCCAAAACTGGGATTTTGATTAAATTCCTATTAAATGCATGCACTACTAATTTGTGTGTGTACTCAGTACTCAGTGTTCAAAGACAAACAAAATATTCCAGAACCTAGAAATTGTTTGGGGACGTGTGGTCATGAAGCATCAGGGTTAGTCACTTTACACAAAGTCAGAGAGATTGATAAAATCCTGCAGGAGTCAAGGCTCGTCAAGTACTCAGTGTTCAAAGACAAACAAAATATTCCAGAACCTAGAAATTGTTTGGGGACGTGTGGTCATGAAGCATCAGGGTTAGTCACTTTACACGAAGTCAGAGAGATTGATAAAATCCTGCAGGAGTCAAGGCTCGTCAGACTGCTGCTTTTGTTCTGTCTTTCATTGACCTTTAATGCAGGACAGATGTCATTGATCATCCTGCCTAGCCATGTGATCGCTTGATCATCGGCGTCCAGGACAGTGCTGACAGGTGCACGGAGGGCTTGCCCTCGAATCACATTTTCCAAGTTTGTCTGTTCAATGTTAGTTCTGTATATTATAATAAAGGCTTATTCTTACTACTGATATCTGGATTCACAGTCGCAAAATGACCTGGAGAGTTTTGTAATGGCACACAGCACACATTTTCTCAATGATATGACTGGAAAAAAAACTGTCTCTTCCAATATAAGTTTGCTTGAGCACTGTTGACTTTCCATGGCAGTGAAATTTGTGTTGTCTAAATGCATTATAAAAGGTGCCCTCTGACAGTAATTGCTATTGAATCATGTGCTAGTGCTTAAAGGTGAGAAGTTAGTCACTATAAGCATGTTGGCAAGACTCTAATATATGTGCATGGCTATAAGTGAGAAATACTGCTTTTTGGTTTTTGTTACTTACCTGTAAGATCAGTGAAGAAACAGAGTTATACAAAAGTGCAGAGTGGGACATGTCCCAAATAAGCTAAGAGGAGGGGGATCTTGTTGTTTGAAAATGAAGAGTACATGTGGTTTGACTGAAAAGCAAGTCTGTAATTAAAATTGATTGTACAGTTTCCTTAATCATTAGATCAGTGTCTTGTAACCAGGGAGCCTCAGCAAACATCCAAGAGGGATGGAGGTAAATGTGTGCTGAAATAAATACAGGAAAAGATAGATTCGCGGCTTTTGAGAATCAATATCGAATCAACGTTATTTACAAGAAACGATTAATCGAAAAAAAATATTTTTTTTGCCCAGCCCTAATCGATACGTCACAGAGATTTGACGATACGAGTATCGATACAGTTTGCCCTGTATCGATATTGTTGCACGTGTGCAGCAGTGGACCGCACTTAATTTGAATACAAAAACACTGTTTAAAATGGAGTAGAAAAGTGTGAGGTTTCTAAAAAAAAATAAAGAATAGAGCATAACATATACTATAGTCTACAACAGGGTTTCTCAA